AGCCTGCCCAGGGTGAGTTCGTCCTTGAGAAGTCTTCCAGCTGATTTTGCAACCGTTTCAGTGCGTTTTGGCGAGCATTATCGTGGTCGCACTCAAGTCGATGCTAATCCAGTTCGTCTCGCTGAAGAAGTACTGGGCGTTGAGTAAGTGGGACGCGACGGTTTGGATAGTAACATTTTTCACCACCACCATTATCAGTATTGACTACGGCTTACTGGCTGGGATTCTCATATCGCTCTTCAGCATCTTCATCCAGGCACAGAAACCGTACTCGTGCCTGCTGGGGGTAGTGCCGAACACCGATCTCTACCTGGACGTCAAGCACTACAAGGGGGTACGCCTTGGGAACTTCAAGCACGCTCTCTACTTTGTCACTTTCAGATTCAGGAGATGAGCGGAATTAAGATTTTCCATTACAGCGGCAGCTTAAACTTCGCCTCCAATGGCGCGTTCAAGTCGATGCTGTTCAAGCGGACCGGCTTCGATCCCATGAAGTTACTCACGGCGAAAAAGAAAGACCTGGAGCTCACCCAGGACTCCCTTACCAGGTCAGAGGGCGAGGAGCTACTGACCAGATGCATTATACTCGACTTCGCCGCTTTGACATACATCGATCCGTCGGGCGTCGAAACTTTGCGATCACTCATCGAACAATACCGACAGATTGACGTCGCGATGTATATCTGCTCGTGTTCGGGTAAGCTCGTGTTCACTTACGAACGTCTAATAACCTTCGTACTGCAGAAAGCGTCTTTGAAACGTTAAAGAAGTGCGACAGTTACGACGGGAAGAGTTGTCGATTCGTGATATTTCCGACAATACACGACGCCGTGCTGTTTAGCCAATCGTGTTCGAAGCAGAAAGACGGCTGTAACACGTGACGTTGCCTTAGCCAAAGAATAAATGATATTATTTATTTTGTGTAAATTATGCAAACCTGTTAGAACATTTTTCATTGATGTTTGTTAATAAATTGTTTATTTTTACTGTTAAAGGCGATGTGTACAATCATTTTCTGGTAAACGGTGGCTGTGCTACACCTAATCAGGAGTTATTGTCCTGTGGAGACGATCTCCAACATTTCCCTCATAATTTCATAGCGTATGCATGCGGACTATGCCGAATCTGTTCTCTGATTTAGAGGAGGAAAAGTTTTTGGACCTGGGGAGAATATGGTGGTGCCACGAAAAGGTGTCCCCATAAGGTAATCCTGACCCTCTGACGCCGTGACCAGCTTGTTCCTACTTTCCTTTGCCGGCGAGGAATGTATTCATCTGTAACAATAAAAGGGAAACGTTTTCGGACCTGGGGAAAGGTTTCATAGGTTCACAGGGTTTTTTTGAACCTGGAAGATGATCTCTCCTGTGGCACGACAGTCATTTCGTTTCATTCTGGCTTAAGTGGACAATGTCTAACCTGTTTTTGACAGCCCTTCGCGAATGAGCTGAAATTGTTGGAACCAGTGATGATAAACAGGGTAAAATTTGAACCTGGGGATGATCTGGTAAGTGGTACCGCAAAACATCATTCTTGACAATGGTGGTGATGGCGGTGATAAACAGAGGAACTTTTTAAACCTGACGGAAGACCACTTTGGTCTTTGGTGGTAAGCGTCGTCACCGTAACCAAATTCTTGCTCATGGCCCAACCTGATGTTACCTGTTTTCGAACGAATGTAAATTTTTTGAAGCAAAGAAGGTAACCAGAGAGACTTTTTGAACCTGGGGAAGATTTTATTGGTTGTATAGCCCAACGTCGGCACCGTCACCTAATTCTTGAGCGTGGTGACCATGTCTAAACTGTTTTTCCCTTCCTTCACGAACGAGTTACATTTTCTGAACCAGAGGCGATAAACAGAGGGCACATTGAATCTGGGGGAAGTTCTTGTTGGCCGATCTCGTTAAACTTTGACACCGTAACTTAATCTTGACCATAGTGACTATGTAAAACCTATGGTTCCCTGCTTTTTCGACCGAGTACAAATTCTCTGAATTAAGAGACGCTAAACAGAGAAATTTTTTAAACCTGGGTGAGGAACTTGTTGTCTGTATCGCTAAAGGTTGACACTGTCACCTAATTTTTGACCACGGTGATCATGTCCAGCCTCTTTTTCCCTGCTTTCACAAACGAGCTTAAATTATCTGAACCAGAGACAGTAAGCCGGGAAACTTTTTGAACCTGGGGGAAGATCATGTTGCCTGTATCGCTAAAGGTTGGCACTGTCCCCTAATTTTTGACCATGGTAATCATGTCCAACCTCTTTTTCCCTGCTTTCACAAACGAGCTTAAATTATCTGAACCAGATACAATAAACAGGGGCACTTTTTGAACCTGGGGGAAGATCATGTTGCCTGTATCGCTAAAGGTTGGCACTGTCACCTAATTTTTGACCATGGCGATCATGTCCAACCTCTTTTTCCTGCTTTCACAAACGAGCTTAAATTATTTGAACCAGAGACAATAAGAAGGGAAACTTTTTGAACCTGGGGGAAGATCTTGTTGCCTGTATCGCTAAAGGTTGGCTCTGTGACCTAATTTTTGACCATGGTGATCATGTCCAACCTCTTTTTCCTGCTTTCACAAACGAGCTTAAATTATCTGAACCGGAGACAATAAGCAGAGAAACTTTTTGAACCTGGGGGAAGATCATGTTGCCTGTATCGCTAAAGGTTGGCACTGTCACCTAATTTTTGACCATGGCGATCATGTGCAACCTCTTTTTCCCTGCTTTCACAAACGAGTTTAAATTATCTGAACCAGAGACAATAAGCAGGGAAACTTTTTGAACCTGGAGGAAGATCTTGTTGCCTGTATCGCTGAAGGTTGGCACTGTAACCTAATTTCTGACCATGGCGATCATGTGCAACCGCTTTTTCCCTGTTTTCACAAACGAGTTTAAATTATCCGAACCAGATACAATAAACAGGGGCACTTTTTGAACCTGGGGGAAGATCTTGTTGCCTGTATCGCTAAAGGTTGGCACTGTCCCCTAATTTTTGACCATGGTAATCATGTCCAACCTCTTTTTCCCTGCTTTCACAAACGAGCTTAAATTATCTGAACCAGATACAATAAACAGGGACACTTTTTGAACCTGGGGGAAGATCATGTTGCCTGTATCGCTAAAGGTTGGCACTGTCACCTAATTTTTGACCATGGCGATCATGTCCAACCTCTTTTTCCTGCTTTCACAAACGAGCTTAAATTATCTGAACCAGAGACAATAAGAAGGGAAACTTTTTGAACCTGGGGGAAGATCTTGTTGCCTGTATCGCTAAAGGTTGGCTCTGTGACCTAATTTTTGACCATGGTGATCATGTCCAACCTCTTTTTCCTGCTTTCACAAACGAGCTTAAATTATCTGAACCAGAAACAGTGAGCAGGGAAACTTTTTGAACCTGGGGGAAGAACTTGTTGGATGTTTCGCTAAGCTTCGCGATCACGGTAACCACGTCTGAACTGTCTCTCTTTGCTTTTCCGAACCATTTCAAATTTTCTGAACCTGAGACGATAAACAGAAAACCTGTTTGAACCTGGGGGAAGAACTAGTTGGCTCTTTCTCTAAACGTTGACACCGTAACCAAATTTTTGGCCATGGTGACCATGTCCAACCTGTTTTTCCTTGCTTTTACGAACGAGTTTAATTTCGAACGCCTGTTAGAACCTGGAAGATCTACCTGTCCCGCTAAACGTCGTCACTGTTACCATGGTGACTATATCTCCAACTTGATTTTCCTGCTATTACGGGCGTTTAAAATTTTTGGAACCTGAGGCGAGGAGAAGCCTCGGAACCTGGGAATGATCTACTTGGTGATACCGTTAAATGCGACACCGTGCCCTAATTCTTGACCATGGTGACGATTATGGACAATCCCTGTTGACGCGGATGAAATTAAACTTTCAGAACCCGTGTCGGTAAACAAGGGAACTTTTAGACCTGGGGAAAACTGTTCGGTGGCCTCGGTCACCGTAACCAAATTCATGTCTATGGTGACCATCTCCAACCTGAGTTTCTCTTATTTTGCAGACGATTTTTGGCTTTTGGTGCCCGTGACGATAAACAAAGTAACCTCTTGGACCTGGGGTAAAACCTTGTCGCTAAACGTCGACCCCATACCTTAATTCTGACTCACGGAGATTATGCCCAACCCGGTATTTACTTTCTTTCCCCGTGGAACTCATAATTTTACGACTATTTCAGCTGAGACACCACCACGATTCCACCTAGAGCAAGATCTCGATGGTACCGCCGTTTACGGTACCGTAACTTACGGAGGTATGTTCTTCTTTCACGGAAGAGCTCATGATTGCACCAATGTTTACATCTGTGAGGGTGAATGGTTGAAGTATTTCGACCTGGAGAAGTATCTCGATGGTGGCTTCTGTAAACTGACCCACTGAAGCCCTGTAAAACTTGTTTTTCCTTACTTTGGCAACTGATTAATGTTTTCCTCTGAAACCATAGATGGCAGTAAGGTTTTTCGACCTGGAGAATTACCTCCATACTGGGACCGTAAAATCGCGGCATCGTAGGCTAGTACTGGTATACTGATACACATGTTCTTCCTTTCTTTCGTAGAGGAGCTAACTGTATTAATGTTTTGCTCTGTGCAGACGTTTTTCGACCTGGTGAAATATCTCCGTGGGGATGACACAGTAACCTAGGGGTGTCTGATATATTCTTCCTCTTTTTCGTGGACAACGTAATAATTTTACGAATGTATTCATGTTTTCTGCACGGGCACGACGGCTCATGGGGACGATCCCGTCTCTTTCCCCTCTTCCCACGCGTACGCGTTAATGATTGTAGGTTTGTACTCATCTGTCACTTTGATTGGTGGGAGTTTCGAAAATGTCGTCGGAGGGATATCTGAATGCCGTGACCGTAACCTCATACTGACCCACGGAGACGACGTCCAACTTTTCTTCCTTACTGGTATTCAAACATGGAAATGTTTAGAAACTTATCAGCACTCGTCAAATTCCACTCGTAAATAGAGATAGAGCCCGTCCACTCCACAGGTTTATCGTTAAACAAGCGCGCATCTGACTCACTTCGAAATTATCAGTTGGTGCCAACAAAACAACGTGGTCGCCATGGAAAATTGTACGGAGAAGACACCTTTACTTTCGCAAAAATCGACAAGGTATCCACCGTTAACGTTTCTAGTTTAATACCCTATTGCTTTGTAGCGGCACGACGGCACACGTCCAGCGTCCAGTGCAGCAGGTTGACCTGAATGACCTTACAAGGTATCAATACAGAGAGTCGGGTGGTAAGTGACCCTGGTAATGGTCATCTTCCAAGTGTACCCTTTCAGTTGGACGAGCAGTGAAGGAGAAGCTCTCGTCTTGTGATCCGAAATCGTGTCTTTTGTCTACGGTTCCGATTTTGGAGTGGTTGCCGCGCTACCGGTGGAAGAACATACCCGGTGATTTCGCCAGTGGCCTTACCGTCGCCATTATGCACATACCACACGTGAGTTATCCGAGCCAAGACTCGGTTTCTGATTGGTGCTCGTAGGGAATGGCCTACGCGCTTTTGGGTAACCTACCGCCAGTCGCCGGCATCTACATGGCATTTTTCCCGGCGCTGGTCTACGTCCTGCTGGGCACCTCGAGGCACGTGTCAATGGGCACCTTCGCGTTGGTTTGTCTCATGACCGGTAAGGTAGTCTCACAGTACTCCCACAAGGGGAGCGCCGGAAACGCGACTCTTCCAAACGGAGACGACGTCCGTTATACACCTGTCCAGGTGGCGACCGCCGTGACCTTCACCGTGGCCGCCTTTCAAATGCTGATGTACGTATTTCGGTTGGGCATCGTTACCAAGCTGCTCTCTGAAACTTTGGTAAACGCCTTCACGTGTGCAGCCGCTTTCTATGTGGTCATCTCGCAGCTGAAGGACCTTTTCGGCTTGGTCGTACCCAAAAGGACGGGAATATTTTCATTGGTTCTGGTAAGTGAGAGACCTATGTATAAAAATAACATAATACAAAGGGACATTACCAGACAAACATTTCATGCGCATTAATTAATTAATTTTGGACGCTTTCCGCTGCCATCTTTTGTGGAAGTCTAGTCTGAAAGTATTCCTTCTCCATGCCCTTTCCCTTTGAACAGGTTCGGTATCATGAGAGTCTGAGGGTCGAGGAGATATTTTCTGCCCTTTAACTTTGAACATCTCTTGTATCAGGGGAATATAAGAGTTGAGGAGATATTTCGTTTCATGTATTAGGAGAACATGAGAGTATATGAGGTATTAGTGCTCAGAATGTGAACGCAGTTAAATTCTTGCAAGCATTTGGTATCAGGCAAGCATGCGTGGAGTGATTTTTGTAGTACCAAGTTGAATTTGAAACAGTCTAGAACCGTTTTACGCTCGCTAACTTTTCGCAAACCCGGTATCAGCAAAAAAAATGTGTTTCTTTACAAGGTTTTTATCAGGAGAACATAAGAGTTGAGGAGATATTTCAGCTTAAAGTACAGATGAAGGAAAATTGCCTTTCATCAGGAACGCATCAGGCGGGTGATAATTCTAGTATATAATAGAAATTGTGCCCTGTAACTCAAAACAACGCGGGCATCTTGGAAATTGTAATTTCAGTATCAGGAGAATATAAAGTTTCATGTTAGCGTCTTATTTTTCCAAGTACTTTCTATTAAAACAGCAGTAGCAAAGATCTTATCTTGTGTTATGTTGCAATTTAGCGATTTATACCTCTTTTTGGGTCTGTCTCATAGAACACTCTCTAAATCAGGAGACCATAAGGTGCGAGGAGGTTTTATTCCGCAAGGAGTTGAATTTGGAACAGTCTAGAACCATTTTACGCTCGCTAACTTTTCGCAAACCCGGTATCAGTAAGGAAATGTGTTCCTTCACAAGGTTTTTATCAGGAGAACATGAGAGGTGAGGGGATATTTCAGCTTAAAGTACACATTGCCTCTCATCAGGAACGCATCAGACGGGTGATCATTCCAGTAGGTATACAATAGAAATCCTGCCTTTAAACTCAAAACAACGTGGGCATCTTGGTAATTATAACTTTAGTATCAGGATAATATAAGGTTTCATGTTAAAATTTTAAACCATTTTTCCAAGTACGTTCTATCAGGACAGAAGTAGCAAAAATCTCCTCTTGTGTTATGTTGCAATTTAGCGATTTAAACTCCTTTTTGGCTCTGTCTCATAGAACACCCTCTGAATCAGGAGAACATAAGGTGCGAGGAGGTTTTATTCCGCAAGGAACCAATTTCCTTCTTTCAGTGCAACAGACAACAAGACCTAATTTTCATATCACTCCAGATTTTAAGTCTTTATTCATGTACCTTTTGTGTAGAAATTCCGTGACAGGTGAATATAAGGTAGCAGGAGGTTTTGTTGCTGAGAATGCCATTTTCAGTCATAACAGCGGGATTAAAAAACACTTAAATAATACCAAGTTGAATTTGGAACAGTCTAGAACCGTTTTACGCTCGCTAACTTTTCGCAAACCCGGTATCAGTAAAAAAAATGTGTTCCTTCACAAGGTTTTTATCAGGAGATATTTCAGCTTAAAGTACAGATAAAGGAAAATTGCCTTTCATCAGGAACGCATCAGACGGGTGATCATTGCAGTATATAATATAAATTCTGCCCTTTAACTCAAAACAATGTAGACATCTTGCAAATTATAATTTTAGTATCTGGAGAATATAAGTTTTCACGTTAAAATCTCATTTTTCCAAGTACTTTCTATCAGAACAGCATCTCCTCTTGTGTTATGTTGCAATTTAGCGATTTAAATCTCTTTTTGGATCTGTTTCATAGAACAGCCTCTGAATCAGGAGAACATAAGGTGCGAGGAGGTTTTATACCGCAAGGAGCCAATTTCCTTCTTTCAGTGCAACAGACAAAAGAAGATCTAATTTTCATATCACTCCAGAGTTGAAATCTTTATTCATGTACCCTTTGTGTAGAAATTCCGTGACAGGAGAATATAAGGTCGCAGGAGGTTTTCTTGCTGAGAATGCCATTTTCGGGCATAATAACAGGATTAAGAAGCACTTCTTTATGTCAAGTTATACTTCATCGGGAAAATATGAGATGCAAGTTTTCGGAGTGAAATGAAATACAGTAGCGAGGATCTGGTTCTTTTGCAACTTGAGCAATTTCTGTGTCAGGAAGGTATCAGGTGTCTTCCATTTTGCGTTATAGAGCACAGTCCAAGTCAGGGGAATATAAAGAACGAGCAGTCAATTTCTTGCGGGTGTCATCCGTTGAAAAAATAGAAACAGAAGATTCTTCCACGGCTAATATTTGAGTTTACTCTTAGTATCAGGAGAGCATACGTTTCAAGGAAGGTTTTTTTCCAGTCACAAACTTCTTGTAAGTGTGAACAACAGAAGCGAAAAGGTCTTTTATAACTTTTTTCACGCGTAGCACCTTTGGAGGGTTCAATGTGTTGGGAGGTAATAAAAGTATTCTTTATCAGGAACGCATCAGAGGGGTTGCCATTGGAATATCATTCTAAAAGTTAAAACTGGTCAGGTTTTTCCTGTATCGGGAGAGGGCGAGGAGCTATTTCCTGAAAGTATTTTTAATCAGGAATGCATGAAATGTGCGACTAATCTAATAACATGCAAAATTTAAAATTGGTTACACCTTCCAAATAAATTATGTATCAGGAGAATATAAAATTTGAGGTTGATTTTTCCCTCATTGAATGTTGAGGAGATATTTCCGCTCATTGTCAGGTTGAGGGAAACTTTCTGGAAGTATTTACTCGTGATATATATTAGGCGAGCATGAGGGCCTAGGAGGTATTCTCGCTTAAAATGTGATCGCAGGCAAATTATTCAAAGAATTTTGTATCAGGCAAGCATACGTGGATTGATCTTCGTTTTTCCGAGTAATTTCGAATACCTTCCGATTTTTCTGTCCTCTTTGTATTAGGAGAACATATTGTGCAAAGATGTGCTCCTCCACAAGGTGTCAGGTGAGGGAAAGATTGTTTCATCAAAAAGGCATTAGAAGGGTTTTAATATCAATTTGAAGTTGATTCCAATTTTTCTACCCTTTAAGGAGAATATGAGAGTTGAGGAGGGTCACTGAAAGCAATTTCCTGCAAGTGTTTTCTTTCAGGACTCTTGTATTTTAGCCCTTTACGTTCCATTTTGTGTCAGGAGAAAGGTTGTGGTATCAGGAGAATATAAAGGAAGAAGGACAAGCTTTTCCCCTCCTCTTAATTCTTTCGTATTCTTCCCTTTCCCTCTTGCTTTCCCTTTGTTTTTCGTCTGTCATCTTCTTTCTCGTTACTTCCTCTTTGCCTCCTCTACCACCAGAGGGAGTAAAATGTACGTCCCTATGTGCATTAATTAATGTTTCAGACACTCTACGATATCATCATTTCTCTGCCTAGTGCCAACGTCGCCGCGGTCGTAATGTCAGCCCTATTTATTACGGTTTTGGTTATAAACAACGAAATCCTTAAGGTAACGCCTCTCGTAAATATTCCACCAATTACGCCCAACGATTTCAGCCAATCCTCGCAAGGAAAACGAAAATCCCATTTCCCATCGAGCTAGCAGCGGTGGTCATCGGGACGGGCGTCTCGTACGGGGTTGGTATGAAGGAGCGCTATGAACTGAACACAATTGGACACGTTCCGACTGGGTGAGGTCAATTGCTTTAGTATATACAGGGTCGCCTATGCACGTGTTCGGTACACACCCTGTTTACTGGTTTATCTGTGTAGGAAACCCCGCTGAACAGGTAAGCAATTGAACGGGTAAACAGGGCGTGTCGCGGATACTCTCTCTCTTTTGAGATGGAGTGGTAATTTTACTTGTAGCTTACCACAACCGGATCTTCCTCCGTTGGCCTTGCTTCCCTCCATAGCAATGGAGGCGTTTGTGATCACAATGGTGTCGTACACGATTTCGATGTCATTGGCACTCATCGTCGCCCAAAGGGCGCGTTACAATGTCGACGCCAACCAGGAGCTGTTGGCACTGGTAGCATCTTGTGGAACAGTAGCCACCAAAGTAAATTTTAGGGTTTCAGCAATCTTTGCGGATCGTTCTTCTCGTGCATGCCGATCACAGCTTCACTGTCGAGGACTATGATACAGTACACTGTTGGTGGTGTAACTCAGCTCGCGTCGGTGGTTTCGTGCGTTATCATTCTCGCGGTGCTACTCTGGATCGGACCGGTTTTCGAAACCCTGCCGAAGGTGAGTTACGATCAGGACACACCAGTGAATTCACTTGAATTTTAGTGCGTCTTGGCAAGCATCATCGTGGTCGCTCTCAAGTCGATGCTGCTCCAGTTCCTCTCACTGAGGAAGTACTGGGTGTTGAGTAAGTGGGACGGAGCGGTTTGGTTGGTCACATTTTTTGCCACCACCATTCTCAGCATTGATTATGGCTTACTGGCCGGAATTCTAATATCACTGTTCAGCATGTTCGTTCAGGGACAAAGACCGGATGCGTGCCTAATGGGGGTAGTCCCAGGTACCGACCTCTACCTGGACACCAGGCACCACGAGGGGGTACGTCTGGCCATTTAGGGCGCACCTTCAAACTAGACCTTGCAGATTGAAGAAGTAGAAGGCATTAAAATATTCCACTACAGTGGAAGCTTAAACTTCGCGTCCAACGATGCTTTTAAATCAATGCTATTTAGCCTCACTGGTTTGGACCCATTCAGCATGAAAATCGAAGAGCATTCCACCAAGAGCATTATACTGGATTTCCCAGCTGTGGCCTACATCGATCCCTCCGGAGTGGAAACCTTAAGATCCGTGATCCGTCAGTACACTCAGTTAGATGTTTCAGTTTACATCTGCTCCTGCTCTGGTAGGTCACTGAGAATTTCTCCATAATTACCATGATATTTCAGATCGCGTTTTCGAAGCGCTGAAGAAGTGTTCAGATAAATCTGACCAGTTCGCAATTTTCCCCACTGTACACGATGCAGTTTTGCACAGCCAATCGAGTTTTGTGGAGAGAGATGTCTGATACCCATAACAACGTCAACAGTGAAGGTTCTGCTTGTGGATATCTAGTAAATCACTAATCCTAGTAGCTTTTCTGGTAATTGTTTGAGTTTGAATCGCCTGTACTATTTCTAGCAGTAGACTAATTTACGTGGTCACGATATTTTGGATTGCCCTTCATCCAATATAGAAGAACTGTACTTTTAGCACAATCCCGTGGCCCAAAACCCACTCTCCTCAACTAGCTCTCCGGATTAATCCCTTCCTATTTTTTTTTATTAACTAACACGTTTTTCAAGATGTCATCTAGTAATTATGTGAAACATTTTTTATCAAGAGCAAATTTGAATGGTTATGCCCCCCCCCCCTCTCGCACCTTATATTTGCCGGACACAGAAGTTGCTTTAAACGAAACAGTCCAATCGGACATGAGGAAATGCTTCTTACTTCTGCTATTAGGTAAAAAAACACTTCACTCTCTCAGCAAGAATACCTCTTGCTATTTTATAGTGTTCTATTACGGAAGAATAAATAATGAAAATCCGTCAATTATGCTCTCCTGATACCGAATTTGCTTTAAGTTAAATCCAAAAATAATTTCCAGCAGTCCAGATTAAATACATCAGGCTGTATACATACAGCTCCTGTCTGGCATTTCCTACAAAACAACCTTCTACCAGATTTATGTTCTCCTGACACAAAAATTGTTCTTGTTGTAAAGTACTAAAGTCGAAGAGGATACTAAGAACCATTTTTGTCTATACGATTCTTCTGAATGAAACGTTGGCGCAAAATTGCTTTCAATTATCCTTTGAAAAATAACTATCTCCTCCGGCCTGAACTCATATTCTCCTGATGCAAACGTTTTAGTAAATTAAAGGATACAAAAGTGTATTCAATATCCACTTTATGCAAAAATTATCTCTCCCGTAATGCGTTCTTTATCAACGACCTTTCCTTTACCGTAGTTTAAGCGGAAATATGACCTCAACCTTTATGTTCCCCTGATGCAAAAATTTGCAGAATTTCAAAAAAAACACCTCGTGCAATTATGTTCTCCTGATACAGGGTTTGCGCAAAGTTAGACAGTGCAGAGGGATTGTAAACCACTTTAAATGCTCACCTGATACAAAACTCTTTCAAGAATTTATCTGCGATCACTTTGCGCAAGAATACCTTCTCGACCCTCATTTTCGCCTAATACATACCATATTTAAAGCAAGAAATGAAATGTGTAAAGAATTTCATTGCCTATATTCTCTTGGTGCAACATACTTCCAGAAACTTTTCTGCAGTTAGTCAGAAAGTGAACACATTGCACCTTATGTTCTCGTAATATAGTAGTCTCTCCAAGAAATCTGGCTCATTTATTATATTGTCCTGATACCGAAGTTGCTTTAAGTCAAATCCAAAATAATTTCTAGCAGTCGAGTTTAAACACGATATCAGGGTGCATACAGGTTCTCTCTGGCATTTTCTACAAAACAACCTTCTACCAAGTTTATGTTCTCCTGACACAAAAGCCTTCTTGTTGTAAAGTGCTAAAATCCAAGAGGATACGATATTTTTATCTATACGATTCTTCTGAAACAAACGTTGCGCAAAAATGTGTTCAATTACTTTTTGAAAAATAAATATCCCCTCAATTCCTATATTCTCCTGATGCAGACTTTTTTGTGAATTAAAGGCTACAAAAGAGTAATCAATTTCCACTTGATACAAAAATTATTCATCTCCAAATACGTTCTTTATAAAATGACCGTTTTGTTTACCGTAGTTTGAGAAGAAATATGTACTCAATCTTTATGTTCCCCTGATGCAAAAGTTTAAAGAATTTCGAAAGAAATATGGTAACTTATCCACTTCGCCTATGCCTCGTTGATGGAGATTACTATTTAGTGTAATGGCACCTTGAGGAGGAACACCTTGTCGAGCAATTATGTTCTCCTGATACATGGTTTACGCATAGTCAGAAAGTGCAGAAAGATTGTAAGGCATTTTAAAGATCACTCTACTTATCCTGATACCAAATTCTTTCAAGAATTTACCTGCGATCACATTTGGGGCAAGAATACCTCCTCGACCTTCGCCTTATGTTCTCCTAATATAGTAGTTTTTCAAAGTTAAAGCAACAAGAAAATTGTACAAACTTGTGCTGTCTATATCAAATGGAAAACTAAGCACACAATTTCCGTATATCTCTCAACATAATTCAAGGACCATGCTAATTCTACCTGATTTATATAATTTGAGAGGTAGATCGTGGTTTACAATTGAAAAGCCATGTCACGCACATACGAATTAAATTAATGTTACCTAGGACTGAATATCTTAATTGTAAGTTTAATTTATCCAAGGGATTCTTTTGTTGGATTTCAAATGGGAGCCTCTACGACTGTTAAATCGAGTCAGCGCCCCTCAAACTATCTCACTAGGAATTGTATCAAGGTCGCAGAAACGCGACGGGATGTAAAAGTCCACACTTCTATCAAGAATGCTGCATCAAAGTCATTCCCACTATAGTTCTCCTGATCAAATTTCTCCCTTTAAAATTGATGTGGCAGGATCGCCCTTGGATTAAAATCTCTCTAAAAATTGTCTTATCAGGATCATTGGTGCATAAGCCCAAGAAGGTGTACGTTTCCAAAGGACTCCAGAAAATAGAAAACTGCCACGCAAAATCTGATCATAACACAGGTATCAGAATCCCAGAAGAATGAAATACGAAGTTTAATCCAGAAAACTGTTACACTAGGAGCACAGAAACGCTAAAAGTCTAAACAGGGTAGTTCATTCAGTTCCTCCTTCACGCGCTATGGTGTGCCCAGACAAACCTTTTATTTATGAAAAATTTATGATCTCCTAATCTTAAAAATATTGCATCCGAATCACATAAAGGCGGAGAAGGTTAGATTTTGCTTCCAAAAACCTCCTCGCATTTTATGTTGCTTTTTAATACGTAGGACAAGCTTGAAATCAAACCCATAAAACAGTATGAGAATACTTGCATTTGAAGCTGGAAATTGAAGATTGAAGTTAAAGCTAAAATTGAAGCTTGAAATTGAAACCCGAGATTGGCTTCGATTTCCCCTTCAAGGAAGATTCATTTCGAATTTGATATTGAAAATTGAAATAAAACTTGAAGCTGAAGCTTTAGGAAATACGTAGGACAAGCTTGAAATCAAACCCAAAAACAGTATGAGAATACTTGCATTTGAAGCTGGAAATTGAAGATTGAAGTTAAAGCTAAAATTGAAGCTTCAAAGTGAAACCCGAAATTGAAGTTGATGCTTGAATTTGATGCTTCAAGAAATATGCGTTTCGGGCTTAATTTTGAAGGAAATGAACCCTGAACTTGAAAATTTGAATAAAACTTAAAGTTGAAGCTTCAGGAAATACGTAAGTCAGGCTTGAAATAAAAGCATTGACGCCGGAAGTGGCCATTTGAGGTTGAAACAGTATGAGAATACTTGATTTTGAAATTGGAAATTGAAGATTGAAGTCAAAGCTAAAATTGAAGCTTCAAAGTGAAATTCGAAATGGAAGTTCAAGCTTGAATTTGATGCTTCAAGAAATATGTGTTTCGGGCTTGATTATGAAGGAAATTGAAAAATGGATTTAAAGCTTCAGATTGCTATTTATTTACGGTAAAAGTTTGTAGTTTAAGATCGATCCTGTAGCTTCAAAAAATATGCAGATAAGTGACGTTTGAAGCTCAAGCTTTAATGTGTTGCTGAAAATTAAAAGTTTGAAGTTACAGTCTGAATTTGAAGTCTAGACACGAAGCTTTCAGAAATATGTGAATCAAGCTTGAAGTTGAAGCCAAAAGTTGCCATTTGAAACTGAAAGACTACGATAGTGCTTGAACTTGAGGTTGAAGTTAAAAGTTAAGACTTGATATTGATACTAAAAACAAAAGGTTTTTTGAAGCTAGAAATTGGAAAGTAAAAGGTTGAAGTTAAGACTTCAAATTGAGACTAAAAATAAAAGGTTGAAATGGATCTCGAACTTGAAGCTTCAAGGAATATGCAGATAGACCATAATTTGGGAGAAAATTATGCTTGAAGTAAACACCTGAATTTGAGGTACTAATTTGACGTTTAAATAAGACCATAGTTGAATTTTAATAGTTTAATAGTTGAATTTTAATTTTAAGCTGGAAAGATTGAAGTTAAAACTTGAAGCCAAACTTAAGATTGAGACTAAAAGTAAAAGATTGAAATTTAAATCTAAAATTGAAGTTGATGCTTGAATTTGAAGCTTCAAGGAATATGCAGATTAACCTCGATTTGGGAGAAAATGATGATTGAAATAAGAACCCGAACTTGAAGTTCTAAGTTGGTGCTTGAATATGATAAGGCTAGAATTTGAAGCTAAAAATTGGTGATTGAAGTAATAATCTGAATTTGACGTTGAAGTTCTTTGTTGACATTTTAACATAAAGCTTGACTTTGAAGTTAAAAATTGGAGATTGAAGTTAAAGGTTGAAGTTAGGACTTGAAATTGGCATTAAAAACAAAAGTTTAAAATTGAAACCTGAAATCCTGAATTTGAAGTTGTAATTTAACGTTTGGTAGTACTATAGTCCATGAATTTGAAGCTGATTGGAGATTGAAGTTAAAAGGTAAAGTTAAGACTTGATATTGATACTAAAAACAAAAGTGGAAATTTAAATCTGAAATTGAAAGTGATGCTTGAATTTGAAGCTTTGTGGAATATGCAGATTTGGGAAAAATGATTGAATGAGTGAATTAAATTTGAAGCTGGTAATTGAAGATTGAAGTTAAAAGTTGAAGTCAAACCTAAGATTGAGACTAAAAGTAAAAGATTTGAAGCTTCAAGGAATATGCAGATCAACCATAATTTGGGAACAAATAATGCTTGAAGTAAAACCCTGAATTTGAAGCAGTAATTTAACGTTTCAACAAGATCATAGTCGAATGTGGAGCTGGAAATTAGAAATTAAAGTTGAAGGTTGAAGTGAAAACTTGAGATTGACACGAAGAAATGAAAGATTGAAATTTAAATCTGCGTTTGAAGTTGATGCTTGGATTTGAAGCTTCAAGGAACAACCAGATCAAGTTTGATTTGGGCGGAAATGATGCTGAAGTTGAAGTTCTAAGTTGACGTTTGAATATAAAGCTTGACTTTGAAGTTAGCAAAATTGAATTGAAGTTAAAAGTTGAGACTAAAAATAAAAGATTGAAATTTAAATTTAAAATTGAAGTTGATGCTGGAATTTGAAGCTTCAATAATATGCAGATCAACCTCGATTTGGGAGAAAATGATACTTGAAATAAGAACCTGAACTTGAAGTTATAAATTGATGCTTGAATATGATAATGCTTGAATTTGAAGCAAAAAATTGGAGATTGAAGTTAAAGGTTGAAGTTAAAATTTGAGATTGACAATAATAATAAGAGACTGAAATTTAAATCTGAAATTGAAGTTGATGTTTGAATTTGAAGCTTCAAGGAATATGCAGATCAACCTCGATTTGTGAGAAAATGATGCTTGAAGTAAGAACCTGAACTTGACGTTCTAAGTTGATGCTTGAATATGATAATGCTTGAATTTGAAGGTAAAAATTGGAGATTGAAGTTAATGAAGTTAGGACTTCAAATTGACACTAAAAATCAAAGGTTGAAAGAGGTCTCGAACTTGAAGTTTCAAGGAATATGCAGATCAATCATAATTTGGGAACAAATAATGCAGGTAAAACCCTGAATTTGAAGCAGTAATTTAACGTTTCAACAAGATCATAGTCGAATGTGGAGCTGGAAATTAGAAATTAAAGTTGAAGGTTGAAGTGAAAACTTGAGATTGACACGAAGAAATGAAAGATTGAAATTTAAATCTGCGTTTGAAGTTGATGCTTGGATTTGAAGCTTCAAGGAACAACCAGATCAAGTTTGATTTGGGCGAAAATGATGCTGAAGTTGAAGTTCTAAGTTGACGTTTGAATATAAAGCTTGACTTTGAAGTTAGCAAAATTGAATTGAAGTTAAAGGTTGAGACTAAAAATAAAAGATTGAAATTTAAATTTAAAATTGAAGTTGATGCTGGAATTTGAAGCTTCAATAATATGCAGATCAACCTCGATTTGGGAGAAAATGATACGATAATGCTTGAATTTGAAGCAAAAAATTGGAGATTGAAGTTAAAGGTTGAAGTTAAAATTTGAGATTGACAATAATAATAAGAGACTGAAATTTAAATCTGAAATTGAAGTTGATGTTTGAATTTGAAGCTTCAGGGAATATGCAGATCAAGCATAATTTGGGAACAAATAATGCTTGAAGTAAAACCCTGAATTTGAAGCACTAATTTAACGTTTCAACAAGATCATAGTCGAATGTGAAGCTGGAAATTAGAAATTAAAGTTGAAGGTTGAAGTGAAAACTTGAGATTGACACGAAAAATAAAAGATTGAAATTTAGATCTACAATTGAAGTTGATGCTTGAATTTGAAGCTTCAAGGAACAATCAGATCAAACTTGATTTCGGTGAAAGTGATGCTAAAATTGAAGCTCTAAGTTGACGTTTGAATATAAAGCTTGACTTTGAAGTTAGCAATTAGAGATTGAAGTTAAATGGTGAAGTTAGGACTTGACATTGGCATTCAAAACAAAAGTTTGAATTTGAAATCTGAAATCCTGAACTTGAAGTCCCAATTTGACGTTTGATTATACTATAGTCCTCGAATATGAAGCTAGAATTTGGATATTGAAGTTAAAAGTTAAAGTTAAACTTGATATTGATACTAAAAACAAAAAGTGGAAATTTAAATCTGGAATTGAAGTTGATGCTTGAATTTGAAGCTTTGTGGAATATGCCGATCAACGTCGATTTGGGAGAAAATGGCGCCTGAAGTAAGAACCTGAACTTGAAGTTCTACATTGATGCTTGAATAAGATAAGGCTAGAATTTGAAGCTAACAATTGGAGATTGAAGTTAAAGGTTGAAGTTAAGACTTCAGATTGAGACTAAAAATAAAAGGTTGAAATGGGTCTCGAACTTGAAGCTTCAATGAATATGCAGATCAAGCATGATGCTTGAAGTAAAAATCTGAATTTGAAGTACTAATTTGACGTCTGAAAACGATCATAGTTGAATTTGACACTTGAACTTGAAGTTTGAAGCTGAAGGTTGAAGTCAAAACTTGAGATTGACAATAAAAATAAAAGATTGAAGTTTAAATCTGAAATTGAAGTTGATGCTTGAATTTGAAGCTTCAAGAATATGCAGACAGTCTTGATTTGGGAGAAAATGATACTTGAAATAAGAACCTGAAGTGTTAAGTTGATACTTGAATATGATAATGATTGAGTTTGAAGCTAAAAATTGGAGATTGTAGTTAAAGGTTGAAATTAAGACTTCAAATTGAGACTAAAAATAAAAGGTTGAAATGAGACTCGAACTTGAAGCTTTAAGGAATATAAGAGTAAGAATGATTTGGGAACAAATTATGTTTAAAGTGAAACCTTGAATTTAAAGTACTAATTTGACGTTTTAATAAGATCTTAGTTGAATGTGAAGCTGGAAATTCGAAATTGAAGTTGAAGATTGAAATGAAAACTTGAGATTGATACTGAAAATAAAAGATTGAAATTTAAATTTGAAATTGAAGTTGATGCTTCAATTTGAAGCTTCAACGAACAACTAAATCAAGTTTGATTTGGGTGAAAATGATGCTGAAATTGAAGTTCTAAGTTGACGTTTGAATATAAAGCTTGACTTTGAAGTTAGCAAAATTGAATTGAAGTTGAAGATTGAAGTTAAAAGTTGAGACTAAAAAAAAAGATTGAAATTTAAATTTAAAATTGAAGTTGCACTTGACCATGGTCCAGTTTGAACTATTGCACAACCTTGTAGTGGCAGAAAATCATCGAAAAGTTTAAGGTACTTGATGATGCACTAGTGATGCGGAAAAATATGTGCTGGTCCCTGCACGATTAGTAATTAATTTCTTCCTAAAACATGCAAATCATGTCACGCAATATAATTACCGGCGAACCGTTGAATGAGCAACCGAATTGAGGGTTTCGTGCGACGCTACCGTCTCATTATCCGATTGCGAATTTATATAAGTGAAATTTTCCAAATCACGTTCCAATTACTCAACGGATGGCGATCATTACGGTTTTGGGACTAGTGACAGCGTTGGTGGTGTGTTTGGGGTTGCTCTTCAAGGTATGTTTCACCTACTGGAAACGGAAGGGCGTCTACTCGCCGACGCCCGAGATACCTTTTGGCAACGCTCGCGAGGTCATCTTGCAGAGGGAGGATTTTGGGACCGGTCTGCGGAATTTTTACAACGTGGTTAAAGGGAAGGGGAAGAAGTTCGGCGGGTACTACTTCTTCATGCGCCCGATCTTCGTGCCGGCGGATTTGGATTTGGTGAAGCGCATCATGATCACCGATTTCGTTCACTTTACAGATCACGTGTTGCACGTGGATGAGGAGTACGACCCGCTTAGCACTCACCTGTTCGCGATGAAGGGGGCCCGTTGGAAGCAGCTGAGAATCAAGCTGACGCCTACGTTCAACCCGTGCGCTTTTGGGCTTGAGTGTAACAGCCTGAAGAATCCCGACTCCGAGTTTAGACATTACGGGAAAAAGTTCTTTGACACGAGCTTAAGAGACTCGATCATCCGACTGCTCACGGTAACTCTTCCAGAGTTCTTCACGATATTCCGAGTGAGATCGCATCGGAAAGACGTGACCGATTTCTTTATGAATGTTGTTCAGCAGACCGTCAGACATCGGGAGACTAACAACGTAATCCGCCCGGATTTCATGCACCTGCTACTCCAAATCAAGAACAATGTCAAAATTACTGAGAATGACGTGGGCGATTTGAAGAATGGAACTGCGGTCGAAAGCGAGGTGTCACTTACCTTGCCCGAACTGGCAGCCCAGTGCTTCGTCTTCTTCTTGGCAGGTTTTGAGACATCTTCAACCGCGACCACCTTCTGCATGTACGAGCTGGCCATCAACCCCAAGCTGCAAGACGCCGTGCGTGAGGAGATCGGGACAGTCCTGGCAAGACACAATGGGAAGATCACGTACAACGCCATTTTGGAGATGACCTTGATCGATAAGTGCGTGAACGGTAAGTCTGGTAGGATACGGTGCCATAACCTGTTCCATCTAGAAACCCTCAGGAAGTACCCACCCGTACCCGTCCACACGCGAGAGTGCACCAAGACGTACACGATCCCAAACACCGACGTCGTCCTTAAAAAGGGGAGCTTCATCTTCATACCCGTCTACGGCATCCAAATGGACCCAGACTACTACCCGGACCCCGAAAAATTCGATCCAGAGAGATTCTCCGACGAGAACAAGGCAAAGAGACACGCCTCCGCCTGGACACCGTTCGGCGACGGCCCCCGAGCTTGTATCGGTAAATCGCCCCAAATCTCTTCGCTCGCTAAACGCTCTCTTGCAGGTCTACGTTTCGGGATGATGCAGACCAAAGTCGCGCTGGCCGTACTCCTCAAGAACTGCAAGTTCGCGTTAAACTCCAAGACGGAAACGCCGCTAAAGATGGATCCGAGAAGCTTCGTGCTCTCGACGCTAGGCGGAGTGTGGTTGACCGCCACAAAGGTTTAGGAAATTTCCACCTAAGATAAGAATGAATGTTTTGTACTTACCAAGCTTGGTGTAGATAAATTGAATACCCACGACGATTAAAATTTGTCAATCAGGAAGCGCCCCCTGTCGACAACGGGTTTCCACAGGGTCCTTTTTTCCACTGTTTTTCCTGCTGTTGTTGGAAATCTGCAGGGGAGTATGGGACCTGCCCCCACTGAACTCCACCTCCCCCCATAACTTTTGATTGAGACGTCTAATCGAAAAAGTACGAATCGTTTTGGATTCTACGCACCAAAATTAATAAGAAAAAGTTTTTTCCCGAGAAATTTTGGTGCAGTCGATATTTGGTAAAAAAGGAAGGTTATACACTGCCTTTTTTTTGGCCCAAAAAAGAAAATTGTCTCATATCGACCGGAAAAAAATATTTTCTTATAGAATGTGGCCTGTAGGATCCATAATTTCAAACAGTTCCATGGTCGAGCTACAAGATCAAAAGTTACAGCCCTTTGAATTTTTTGCCGAAATTGGTTTTTTGCCAATAACTTTTGATTGAGACGTCTAATCGAAAAAGTACGAATCGTTTTGGATTCTACGCACCAAAATTAATAAGAAAAAGTTTTTTCCCGAGAAATTTTGGTGCAGTCGATTTTTGGTAAAAAGGAAGGTTATACACTGCCTTTTTTTTGGCCCGAAAAAAAATTGTCAGATCGACCGGAAAAAAATATTTTCTTATAGAATGTGGCCTGTAGAATCCATAATTTCAAACAGTTCCAAGATCGGGCTACTAGATCAAAATTTACAGACCTTTGAATTTTTTGTCGAAATTGGTTTTTCGCCCATAACTTTTGATTGAGACGTCTAATCGAAAAAGTACGAATCGTTTTGGATTCTACGCACCAAAATTAATAAGAAAAAGTTTTTTCCCGAGAAATTTTGGTGCAGTCGATATTTGGTAAAAAAGGATGGTTATACACTGCCTTTTTTTGGCCCAAAAAGAAGATTGTCTCAGATCGACCGGAAAAAAATATTTTCTTATAGAATGTGGCCTGTAGAATCCATAATTTCAAACAGTTCCAAGATCGAGCTACTAGATCAAAAGTTACAGACCTTTGAATTTTTTGCCGAAATTGGTTTTTTGCCCATAACTTTTGATTGAGACGTCTAATCGAAAAAGTACGAATCGTTTTGGATTCTACGCACCAAAATTAATAAGAATAAGTTTTTTCCCGGGAAATTTTAGTGCAGTCGATATTTGGTAAAAAAGGAAGGTTATACACTGCCTTTTTTTTGGCCCAAAAAGAAAATTGTCTTCTTCAGTCTTTTTAGTTGCCGCTCGATCTCCTCTCTTGTTATCTCATCCCTTTCAACCTCCTCTTCCTACCTCCCCTGTCTCCCTCCCACTTGTTCTATTTTCTTTTTGAATGTTTATCACCTTCCAAAATTGCTTCTCTTTTTTTATTTCCTTAATTTGTTCTTCGTATACTTTCTGTTTCTCCATCTTCGTTTTTTTACATTTTTTCACCTCTTTTTCCTCTATTTCCCCTGTTCATTGTTTCTTTATATCTATTTCTCTCTTCTATACATTCTCAGTCCTTTTTTCTCTCGCATCCTCTTCAGTTATTTGTTATTGCTTTTTTAAAACGCTCCCTAATATTATTCCACTCCCCCTCTGTACCCCCTCCTATTTCTTTTGATGGTTCCTCTCCACCGTGTCACTTGTCCATATCAGTATCTGCCTTAGTCTTTGCGTTTTTTCATTTCTTGATCTTCTTATCTTCCCATTTAAACCCAATTCCATCGGTTAGTGATTCGGTACTATCCTTGTTCCTATCGCAAATTTTCAGACATCATTTTGAGAGAGAGATCGTTGTTAGTTCCACCTTAAAAATCCCCTAGTTCAGCGGCATCTTTCATACAACCAATACTCCTACACGATATTCGTTTTCCCCACCAAACTGACCGTTACACTGCCCCCGCCCCACCCCTGCTCCCATATATGTGAATTGAAGTCCATGTCTACGTTCATATTTTCGTTAAAAAATCTCCAAACTCTCGTTTCTGATAAGTCCATTATCACTTTTCCCTCTATTGATTTTCTATCTTGTGTTCTTCTCATCTCTACCCATTTTCCTTTAATTCTTGTTCTCCCCGTTAATATTAGCCCCTCCTCCCATGTACCATCCCTCATTCCTTCTCTGTTAGAACTCTCAGTTTCTTCCCCTTCACTTCTACTCGTCCGACCTGTATTCCTTCCTTCTCTTCCATTTACTTTCCCAATTCTCTTATCCCATTTATTACCCCCGTTAATATACCTCATTTTGTTCTTCCCTTTCTTTGCCAATTGATTCTTCGTATATATTCGCTTGGTATACTGTTCTCTCTATCCATGATTCTACCACTCCCACGATTCCATATCCTCGTACAAGCTCCCAGAAGTGAGCGTCTACCCCTGCTACATTCCATAAGATCATTTTCATGTTGCCTTCCTCCATTTTTACTTTTTGATTTTCTCTTTTCTTCTGGTGTTTGTGTCTGTACGCTCCTTCGCCTCTCTTCCGCCCCTCTATCTTTTCTTTTTCCGTTTGTTTTTGCTCCAAACCTCGCCTTCCGTCTTTTTCCTCTTTGTTCTCACTCATCCTTTTTCTGTGGTACTCCATCTGTACATATTCTTCATCTTCTACCATTACTCTCCTATATCACCATCTTTCTTTCTTGACCTTTCCTCTTTCTCTCTTTAATTACTTTCTGTACCCTTCATTCTTCATAAAATCAGTTTGTCATCCATGTATATCCCGTTCCCCTTTAACCTTCCCCTTCCCTTCACAACTTTTCTCTCTACTTAGGTTTTTCTCTTAGTCATTCCTTTGCCATCTCGCTCTTTTTTCAATCTTCTTTACTTCCATTATCGATATATTATTTTTCTTCATATTTCTCTCATTCACTTCTTCATTTTTTCTATATGTTTTCTTTTTTCTTTCCCATTGCTCTTCCTTTGTCCTTATTTCCTTCCTGAATCCTTGCATTCCTCCATCATCTTTCTTTTCATTTTATTTATTTGCTCCTTTGCATTAGCGGCTATCTTTATTTCAATACTCTTCCCCTTTTGTTTCCCTCCCCCGTTTCTCCACAATTCTCATCCCCGACCGCGTAAAGGACTTTCCTCCCTCATCAACTAGGAGGCATTCGTATTGATATTCCTCTTCTGCTCGCCCGCTCCTCTTCCCATTCTACTAATCTCTGCTTATCTGCTCTAGTTTCTTCTATTCTGCAGTTCTGCGACCCTCATCCTGCCATTCTACTTTCATTTTTCCTTGCTTTTCATAAAAAATTTTCAAATTAAAAAAATTGTATGATCCCCCTTGAAACATGATCACAAGAGCGGTAAATGTTTAACAATTTGAGTGGTAGTTCAACACCAGGGGGTCTGGGGGTATGGACCCCCCGCTACACACAGGTATACATTGCGGAGAAGAAGAGGTATCGAAATTCCAATAGCAATTTGTGAGAGAGATTCACGGAATATGTCTTTCTTGGAATATATAGCTTTGTGCCCCCCCCCCCCCCCCCCAACCGGTCTTTTAGACTCTTACCCAAATTGCCAGCACTGTTGCGATCATTTCCATGTATGTGAATTGTCCGTCCCTATCTCCCTCTATATTTCCGTTTAATTCTCTTTTCTGATAATTCCTGTAACACTTCTCCCTCTTTGTTGCACTCTTTATGTCTTGATTCTCCCCCACAATATTGGCCACACCCTCTCATCTACTAAATCGTATATTTTATTTTTTAAGCCCTTTACTCTTTCTCTGCTGTAGATCCTTATCAGTCTCGTTTTCTTCCCCTCCACTTCTACTAGATTGACCTGTATACTTTCCTCCCTTTTCGTTTCATCTCTCCATTCCATTGTCACAATGTTTCCCCTTATAATATACCTCATTTTTCTCGTCCCTTTATATTGTCCCTCTTTGCAAATTGGATCTTCCATATGTATCCCTCGGTATTCTTCTTCTCCCAATTCTTTTTCTTCTATTCATGATGAAATATTATTTTCATTATGTTCACGTTTCATGCTTCTCTTCTCTTCCGTTGTTTGTTTCTGTACCCTCTCCCTCTGTTTTCTCTTTTGTTGCTAGTTTCTCCGTCCAAACTCCACCATTTCCCCTCCCGTTCTTTTCCTCACTGCTCTCACTAATTCTTTTACTTAGGTTCTCCACCTTCACTTCACCTTCTTGCCGGTTCTCTCCCTTTCCGCTACCGCTCTAATTTCTCTTTGTGCCCTTATTTCTTCATATGTCAACTAGTCATCTATGTTTATCCTCCCGCCCTTTAACTTTCCCTTTCCCCTCACAAACTCCCTCTTCTTTTTCCATGTTAGCTCGCTCTTAGTTTAAATTTTCTCAACGTTTTACATTCGCCTCTGCTTATATGTTTTCTTCTTCATTCCTCCGTCCTCTCTCCCACTTTCCCTTCTTCCATCTCTACTCCCTTTATCGTTATGTCTTCATTATTTCTCTTTTTTGTCTCTGATTTTCTTTCTCGCGTTTTTCATCCTTCTTCTTTTTCGTTACCCCATTGCTCTTCCCTTCAGATTTCCTCTCTTAATTCTCCTACTTCCTCAATGATCTTCTCTTTTATTTTATCTATTTCCTTTTTTGTCTTAATAGCCGCTCTTCTTATTTCATCCTTTACTACTTCCATCGATCCTCTGCTTTTCTTTTCTATTGTCATCTATTCTGCACCCCCCCCCCCCCCGCCGTTTTCTCTTAAGATCTTTTGCTTTTCTGTTCTGCTAGTACGTCTTTGTTTGCATACTTTCAACCCCATTCTGCTTTCATTTTTCATTTTCTTGTTTTCTTTTTTTCTATCGTATTTTAAAGCTCTCTGTCACTTTCCTACTTCTTCCCTGTTCATGTGGTGCCCAACTTCTGATCCTTGCTCATTCACTCCTTCATCATTTTTATTTTTTAAGTACACTGCAGCTGTTTGCTTGCCCCTTTTTTAATTTGCACGGTTCTCATGCCCTTTTCCGCTTTGCTCGGGACTTGTTCTGCTCTTCTTTGTTTTTTTCCTGCTTGGTTCTTCTTTTGACCGTCCTCTCCTCTTCTCCCTTTAGACACATTCTTACTGCCCTTGACCATTTTGATGCTTCTGATGCTCTACCCGTTTTTTATTTTTTCTCTGATCGACTTTGCGCTTGGCTATTGTACTCATTTGCTCCTTTTGCTATTAGCTCTTTAGCTTCTTTATTATTCTTCTGATATTCTTTTGCTTTTCTTCCGCTGAAACGAAGGGAACTTTTTTCCTACGCCTCTTTTGGTTGTCTTCATCTCCTTCTGTCCCTGCTCTAAGCTTTTGTGTCTCAGTACACTCTCATTATCGTGCTCTCTTGCTTCAACGCTCGTCTCCTTTGTGACACTCTCCTCTTTGATACCGTTTTACACTTTTTCAAACATCTTTTCGGTGTTCGGCTAGACGTTCTGTGCCTTTTGTTGCTGTGTATTTCTCCCCCTCCAATAGTTTCCCGCCCATATTCTACCCCCCTCTTCCGCTTCTGTTCTTCCATTTCTTTTCGGCTCCGATTCCTCGTTCCTTGCTCTTCCACTGGTCTTTATCTACCATCTTCCGTCTCTCTCCATTCCATGCATCGTGTTTTCTACTGTACTCATGCTTCTGCTCTGCGTGATTTCTACCTTGCTCGTTTCTTCTTCATTCCCTTTGTTTTTGTGCTAATTTTGGTTGGCTTCTGCTATTCATCTGCTACCCTCAGCCTTGTCCTTCTTCTGTATGCTTCTCTTTTTCCTCCTATCGCTCCTCTTCTGCCCTACTTTCTTTCCTTCTCTACTTCACGTGTCCTCTTATGGTATCTCTGAAACTTTTGGTTTTGAGTTCACGCGAACATGAAACGTATGACATCTTATTTACATTTATTTAAAAATATGAGCGCTTAAAAGTCGAGAATTTGTCATGAATAATACAAGTCATCCTTTTATAAACAAAAGAAAAGTATCAGAACATTTAGAGAATTTTTAAGTACTAATTGTATTTCAAAATTGGCTTAAAATTTACACTGCCGTCCGCCGTTTCAGTCAACCAAATCCAAAATCTATCACATTAATTAATAACAGTATACTTTAGGCAAACTTACAGGTAATATACAATCTCTTAAACGTTATTTACAAAAGGTAACGTACGCCACTGGTTTCCAGTCGCATAGACATAGCGTGATTATTTACACAAACCGCCACCTGTGGCGTTGTACAAAGACCTAAACTAGAGTTTCTCGTTTTTCATAGTGAAATCGATCACCCGGCAGATGTCGCACTCATTGTTCTTGTTGCACGAGCACCCGTCCTCGCACTTCTTGAGATCGTCGCAAATTTTGAAGTTCTTCAGTCCCTTTTTGAGATCGCGCTTGATCGACTTTAACGTCTCGGACGCGTCCAGCTCGAGAATCTCGTCCGACTGCTATCCGGCGATTGGTCACATGAACACGTCGGGCAGGTCGGGATTCTTGTTGCGCATCGCCATCTCGTCCTCGAACGTGACCATCTTCTCGCGCGTCTTCGGCGGTATCTTGCGGAGCGATTTGACGACGGTCGGCAGAAGCGTGGCGGCGGAGATCGGCGTGTCGCCCGACGCTCCGGCGATATCGAAGTCGCTTATGCTGCGAGGCACGAAGTACTCTACGAGAGGTTCGGCACCTGAAATGCAACCCAGTTAGTCAGCGTATTATGTTTCCCTGATACCTCGACCAAAAAATTTTTAGTATTTTCATATTTTGACTTTAATAATCCGTACGGATCTACCATGATTTGCAATTTCTAACGTATTTTGACCCTACTAACCCGTACGGATCTACTACGACTTGCAATTTTGTAAGGTTTTTGGTACATCCCATGCTCTCAATTAGATACTGACCTACTGATCTTCTCCCCGGAGTGTTCCTTTGAAAGCTACTCTTCCTCGGTAAACTATTGTGTTGTAAAATTGGCAAGATTTTCTTAACGGTAGGCGGCGTAACAATAGGCGGCGGCGCGCCCTCCGTCTTCGGCCTTTGTCAGGAGCCGACGACGGCCATTTGAACCTCCTCGCGAACCTTAACCGCCTCGCTTTTGGCACACGTCGCTCCAATTAATCTAAATAGGCTAATCACTTGGTCTTGTACTAAACTAAAGCACATGGCCACTAGCGCCATGCCAACTAAGATATAGGCCGACGATGCGCATAATGAGACATCCTCGTAATTTTGGCCCGGCATCAGATCACCAAATCCTATGGTCCCCAGTGAGGTGAAGCAGAAGTACGAGCCCTCCAGTATGCTCCAGTCTTCGAGGCGGTGGAAGAGGAACGCGCCCAGGCCGATGTAGCCCACTATGATGAAGAGGCATAAGGTTATGGGGACGCGTATCGACTTCGTGCAGGAACATTGCGGCCGTTTCAACGTTGTACCGCACACCCTTCCGTACAGTCTACGAAAATTCCTCGAGAGCAGATCTCCGGTCGTCGACAGGTAGAGTAGCATCAGGGGGATGCCCACGAGCGCGTAGATAATTGTCACGAGCTTCCCCCAGACCGTCTTCGGCGAAACAGAGCCGTAACCTGCAACAAAGTTACTAAAATTGTAATACAATAAAGAGATTTTGAATATCGCACGTGAAAGCAAAAGGGGGATTCGCGACGGGAACACTACGCGAAAACCGATAGGTACAGTTCCGTTTCGTGCGTCACATTCTCAATTACGCAAACCGATCAAGTGCGACCACTACCTCCAGGGATTACGGCTAGTAATTCTCAATTTAGGACGGAAACCGGATTTGAACTTCAATCGGATCAGTCATTAGTGCGCTTGATATGGACGACGTCTCTCATATCCGGCTGCAAATGTAAACCAAACTTCGCAAACACAGGAAGTCGAAATTAGTGTCTTAGGTAATTACGAAATTAGAAACCGAACGATCCGATTCGTTTTTTCTGCTAAAAATTAGCTGGAGGTAGCAAAGGTAAAAATTCAACAACACCAACGACTGAACTTTTGGGTGAAAGTATAATAACAGGATTACTTTAATGCCGAACGTGCCGAAACTGATAGATTTAAAACCAGTAAACAAACATAGGCAAAGTAAAGGGTTGATGGGGACCTTATTTTAAGGTCGAGCGAGCACAAATCTAGGCGGAGTAACTCAAACCTATTACTCTACCTAGGTTTGTGGCGCACTCGCCTTCGGATCCCTCGGAACTGGTCTCACAGTTGTGCAATGAATGAGAGTGTGAGATCTCTACTGTAGAGAAACTCGTGGCAAACCTCCACTAGGTGTGTGGTTTCACAGTTATCATATAATAGTATTTTCCAAAAATCCCTCCCTTTTAGTTCCCACTTTTTCCCAATTTTACAAAACACGCCTACAAAATGGCTGCTAACCGTTTCAACGGTAACCTACACTCGTTCGGCCAATAAACTTCGTCCTCTTGGATCAATCCTACGTTTAAAAAGCAATTAACCAGAAAAAACGGCATCTGCACTGCTTTATCTCTGACAATTTTTGCTAATTTTCAAGTCTTCCTAAATTGTTCTCTACTTTGGTTTTCCATGGCTCTGAAGTAGCGTAAGCGACTTGCAGATCCCCCTGTGCCCTAAATGCCAAATTTAAAAAAAACACACAAAAGGGCGCAAGAACTCAAAGGATCAAGTACTCAAATATCCAAAGAATCGAAGACCTTTGGCTTCAAGGACCCCAAGAATCGAAAACCAAAAGTCCAAAGATTCAAAGATGGTCGAAAGATCGACAAATCGAGGGATACATGGATCTCAGAATCGAGGGTTAGGAGATTCAAGGAATCGAAAACCCAAAGGCTCAAACACCTGTAAGTATACTCCAATGCTTGCGACCATTAGGATTTAAAATCCATAAGCCGCCAAACATTTCAAATGGCTAAGTTCTAAGGCTCCTAAGACTTCTGCCAAGTTCACTAAGATACCCAGGATTATACTGGGGGAACCACATATTTCTTAAGACCAAGTAATCAACTGCCCAAACACCGAGAGCCCAAATGGAGTACAAGCTCAAGAGTTCAAGTGAATAAGGACCCAAGGACACAAAACTGGGAAACCTGCGGCAAATACTTCAAGACTCAAACATTCTAAGTCTAAGGCCCCTAGGAATGTTTTTTCCCGGCCGATCACAGACAATTTTTTTTCCAGGCCAAAAAGAGCAAGTGTATAGCCTTGATTTTCTACCGAACATGGACTACTCCAAAATTTGTCAGGAAAACACATTTTCTTATAAATTTTGGTGCGTAGAATCCAAAACGATTCGTATTTTTTCGATTAGACCTCTCAATCAAAAGTTATGGACAAAAAACCAATTTCGAAAAAGAACTCAAGGGGCTGTAACTTTTGATCTAGTAGCCCAATCATTAAAGTGTTTGAAATTATGGGTTCTGCAGGCCTAAATCTATAAGAAAATGTTTTTTCCCGATCGATTTCAAACAATTTTTTTCCGGCCCAAAAAAAGGCAAGTGTATATATAGCCTTGGTTTTTTACCGAAAATCGACTACTCCAAAATTTGTCAGGAAAACACATTTTCTTATAAATTTTGGTGCGTAGAATCCAAAACGATTCGTATTTTTTCGATTAGACCTCTCAATCAAAAGTTATGGACAAAAAACCAATTTCGAAAAAGAACTCAAGGGGCTGTAACTTTTGATCTAGTAGCCCAATCATTAAAGTGTTTGAAATTATGGGTTCTGCAGGCCTAAATCTATAAGAAAATGTTTTTTCCCGATCGATTTCAAACAATTTTTTTCCGGCCCAAAAAAAGGCAAGTGTATATATAGCCTTGGTTTTTTACCGAAAATCGACTACTCCAAAATTTGTCAGGAAAACACATTTTCTTATAAATTTTGGTGCGTAGAATCCAAAACGATTCGTATTTTTTCGATTAGACCTCTCAATCAAAAGTTATGGACAAAAAACCAATTTCGAAAAAGAACTCAAGGGGCTGTAACTTTTGATCTAGTAGCCCAATCATTAAAGTGTTTGAAATTATGGGTTCTGCAGGCCTAAATCTATAAGAAAATGTTTTTTCCCGATCGATTTCAAACAATTTTTTTCCGGCCCAAAAAAAGGCAAGTGTATATATAGCCTTGGTTTTTTACCGAAAATCGACTACTCCAAAATTTGTCAGGAAAACACATTTTCTTATAAATTTTGGTGCGTAGAATCCAAAACGATTCGTATTTTTTCGATTAGACCTCCCAATCAAAAGTTATGGGCAAAAAACCAATTTCGAAAAAGAACTCAAGGAGCTGTAACTTTTGATCTAGTTGCCCAATATTCAAACTGTTTGAAATTGTGGATTATACAGGTCAAATTCTATAAGAAAATGTTTTTTCCCGGTCGAGCTCAGACAATTTTTTTTTCAGCCCAAAAAAAGCCTTGGTTTTCTACCGAAAATCGACTACTCCAAAATTTGCCGGGAAAACACTTTTTCTTATATATTTTGGTGCGTAGAATCCAAAACGATTCGTATTTTTTCGATTAGACCTCCCAATCAAAAGTTATGGGCAAAAAACCAATTTCGAAAAAAGAAAAAAAAACCCAAAAACTTTGAAGCTCAAGGAAAAGACTCAACATTTTCCAATGAAACGATTAATTTTCTTGAGCGCAACAAATTTTCCTGGTGAATGGTTCTGGTTTCTACGGATTTCAATTAATCGACGTAAAATAATGGAAAATTTGAAAAACTTAGCAGACAGTGTCAAAGAAAACTGCTATCGCACTCTACTTATAAATTAAAACCGTTTCCCACTTACGGGAATATAAACTGAAAGACCTGCTTTTCCAATAAAAACCGAACGGAAATCAGGAAAAAATAAGGAAATGCTTTCAACGCGCTTAAAGTTCACGCAGTGAATGGCACATTGACGCAATCTTCATTTGCGACAAACGCGTTTTTTTTTCCGGATCGGATTGTTGTCGGAGCGCAACTACGCCCTTGCGACCAACAAACACGCCATTAAATCCCCACCCTACGCGGCCGGATGGGTTATTGAGGGTGAAGTGTCGGGCGCAATTCGGAAGATGGGGCTTTACAACTTCGCAAATTGGGTGCGCCTTCGAGAGACGTTTTTCTCTTTTTCAATACAATCGTTTGCACAATCCCCGAAAGTGAATAATACGAGGAGCGATTCGATAAAATTCCAGTATTGATTTCTGAATGAAATATTCATCGACGCAGTACGGGGATTTTAGTTTTCCCTCTTTACATTAAACGAAATGTGAAGTTGCAATATTTGAATCGCTTATTCAATTCGAACTTTGTTCTTCACGTTAACCTCCACTCTAATCCTCTTTCGGTTATTGAAAATCGTTCAATTGTGTTGATTTTGTACGCTAAAACTGTTAATTTTTTAATTTTCCTCCCAAAAAAAATGTCCTGGTCTGAGACTCGAACATCTGTCCGCTGCTTGAAAAAACCGCGCCGATTCATTCTGTCATCAAGGTTTTTGATTGTTAGACCTCTTTGATTTATGTGCACTTGAGTATTTAACCCCTTGTATCCTAAAGCGCTAATTTTAAATATCCCAAGATAAAAATTGATACGTTACCTGAATTATACCTTTAAATCAATAAATATTGTCAAACGCAGGTAAATGCTTTATTTTTTTAAGTGTTTAAGTGTTTACAAACCTAGGCAGATTAGAGGTTTGACTTACCCCATCAGACATTTACTCTGCCTAGGTTTGTGTGTGCCTTCGACTCGTTCGACATTGCCTGTGATTACATTTCGGTGCAAAAGTGATCTGGGAATCAATACTTGAAAAGATCTTTGGTATTCAATTCTCATCAACGATCTTTTAGCAACCAAATTTGTATCAGGAGAATAAATGATATATTTTAAAAGAGGTTTTTCACCGTCTTGAGCTTCTGTGATCCTAATATAATTTTTAGAACGCTCAACAAAGTGTAATGGAGTAAATTTCACTCTCTTACTGTTTGCCTGATTCTGAGTAAAGTATTCCCAGTATCTCCAAATGAGTGATTCTGTCTCAAGTTTTATAGAAGGGCAACGTGCATCAGATGACCAATAAGAAAACGCCTTAACCTAAAGTTAAACCTTGCGTTTCTGTGATCTACATGTACTAGGAGAACGTGACATGTGAAAAACTGCGCTTAAGCAAAACACATTTGTTTGTGTTTCTGTGATTCTGATAAAGTCACTTTCAAAACAAATCATGGATGACGTAACGCATAAAACCTGTCCGTTTAAGAATATTACATTGCCTTGTTCTTCTAGAATCCTGCTCCAAAGTCCTTAGAAGGAAAATTTGTATCAGGAGAACAAGAAAAGGTGCCTGTTAATCTGTAGTAGACCCTTTCGTATTTCTGTGATCCCGATACAATGGTCCTGTATTCGGATCAGGAGAACATAATATGTGAAAAGGATGTATTTATGTTATGTCAACGTGATATTCTCTTACGAGCGGAATCTATATCAGGAGGTACAGTACTTCAAAAAACGCTTGACAATCACTTTTACACGTTCTCACATTCCTGTGATCCTGATATCTGATTTGCACTAGTAGAACGTAGCACAATGTTTCGAATAGAAATTTGTATAGTCTAAAGAAAGATTTGTATCAGGAAAACAGAATATTCAGAAGATGCTCTGTCACCTTACCCAGATACAACACGTTACATGAAGAAAAGATAATGACTATATTGATAATTTTATGTGACCTTGATACGAGTTAAATTTGTATCAGGAGAACATGGTTTTTAGTATGTTACACCTTCTTGCATTTCTGTGACCTTTTAGTGGTTGCCTGATTCTGAGTTAACAATTTCAAATTAGCAAACATATCTTACATTCTCGGGTACTAAAGTGATTCTGTTTGGATTTTTTTAGTGTGAGCAACATGTATACGTGAAAAGATCTTTGTTACTCAATTCTGATAAAAATTTTATGTGATCTTGATACATCTTTTAACATGGAAATTTGTATCAGGAGAACACAATAAATGATAACACATTTTAAAAGAGGTTTTTCACTGTCTTGAGCTTCAGCTGTGATCCTTTTATCATTTTTAGAACACTCAAAAAGGTGTGATGGAGTATACTTCAGTCTCTTACTGTTTGCCTGATTCTGAGTAAAGTATTCCCAGTATGTCCGAATGAGTGATTCTGTCTAAACTTTTTTAGAAGAGCAACATGCATCAGATTACCTGGATAAGGTAACGTATAAAACTTGCCCGTTTAAAATAATACATCACACTGTTCTCCTAAAATCCTGATACAATGCCCTTTGAAGGAAAATTTGCACCAGGAGAACAAGAAAAGGTGCCTTTCGTATTTCTGTGATCCCGATGCAAGTATCCTGTATTAGAGAAATTGGGATCAGGAGAGCATAATACGTGAAAATGAGTTACTTCCTTGTATTTCTATCCCACCCGCGATATTCTTTTACTAGCGGAATCCATATCAGGAGAATACAGTACTTCAAAAGGCGCTCGA